TAATCCTTGTAACTTTAATGCTATTGAACATCATAGAACAGAACCAACTTGTTTAATTGAAACAGCTGTTAAGATTCAATAATTCCATTTCTCATTAGGTTAACATGGGAAACTCCAGAGCCACTGGGGCGGAGCCCGAAAGGATTTTTGAAATAAGAATATGCCTATATGTTAATCGGGAATGTCAGCTATCATCATGCCAAATTTCAGCCCAATCTGACCAGTATTTTTCGCGTTCACTTGTCACAAACATACATCCATACATCCAAACTTTCTCATTTATAATATTAGTAGGATTTTCTACTTTTTAGTGTGTTTAAAAACGTTTTGTTTTAAAAAAATTTTTTATTTATAAATTATTTTCTACTTTTTAGTTTTTAATGTGTTGGATGTTAAATCTATTTCAAGCATCTATATCAGATTAAGACAGAGGCATGTGGGAAATAAGATTTATATAAGTTTCTTTTTCATATAATTATGTATTAGATTGAATGTATGGCCTACCTACTAACTATAAATATATCAATCTATTTTATTTATTGTTTACTTTATAGAATAGGACTAAATAAATAACAATTGACATTATTAACAAACATCTTTATATCTGCAATCAGATTGTTTATCTTTATTTTGAAATGTTTGTTTGAATAAAGAATCTCTTGGGAGCATAACCTGTACCTCTTAACCACAAAACGGTTAAGAATAATTAACAAATTTGTAGCTCTTCGAACTGTCAAATTTAAGTATTTACAGCTGACTTAAATTAATTGATATGTTTACATTCTTTCAAAATGTAAACATGGAAAATTTGGAAGCCCATGGGGCGTAGCCCAAGGAAAATATGAAATTTAAATGATATAATATTGCATTGTCATCCATTTGTGAGCTATGTTTCAAATTTCAAGTCTCTAGCTCATCGGGAACTTTGTTTAAAATTGATATCAAAATTTGTAGGAAAGCGAGCTAATAAAAACAAGCCCATGGGGCGTAGCCCAAGGGAAATATGAAAATTAAATGACGTAATATTGCATTGTCATCCATTTGTGAGCTATGTTTCAAGTTTTGAGTCTCTAGCTCATCGGGAAGTATCAAAATTTGCAAGAAAGTGAATTAATAAAAACAAGCCCATGGGGCGTAGCCCAAGGGAAATATGAAAAATAAATGATATAATATTGCATTGTCTTCCATTTGTAAAATTATGTTTCAAGTTTCAAGTCTCTAGCTCATCGGGAAGTTAGTATAAAATTTGTACCGGACAATAAAGCGAGCTAATAAAAATGTTTTAAAATCTCATAAAAATTACCTAGTGACTCTTCAGAATGTAAATAACTCTTTCAAGATCTCTATTCCTGTGACAGATCAAGAAATGATTTGCAACCATGTACCTAGGCTTAAGAATGAAGAGTATTTTGACATCTTGAAAGAAAATAACATTATTTTAACTGATGTAGGTGAAAATGTACCAGATGTTAAAATTTTTTTCTTGGTGCAGATGTATTAGTGGATTTGTATACAGGAACTATCCAGAGGATTGACGACGATTTAGTTGCTATTGAAACGTACCTTGGATGGACCGTGATGGGGAAACAATCACGCAATGGAAGTCGTAATACGTCTCTTCTAACTTTATTTTGCCAGAGCAAACCAGAATTCAGAGATCTAGGGAGCTGGCAGACAATTAGAAGAAGGGTCCTATTGGGGTGAAACAGAGAGACTCCATTCATGCGGAAGTGTTTCAACATTTTAAAGAAAATGTAGCGGTGAACGTTGAAAACAGATATGAAGTCAATGTTTCATCAAGCAAACGACTAAATATTCCCAACATATTAAGTGACTGTGTTAGAAAAAATGTTTCAGATCCAGCAGAGTCGACAACGGTTCATCAATTGCTGCATCGCCAAGTGACAAAAGATAGTAGCTTAACTACAAAAATAAAGCCAGTGTTTGATGTGTCTACAAAGTTCAGAAGAAGTAATTCTTTAAACAAATGTTTTGCTCTAGGTACAAATTTGGAAAATTTAATTCCATCTCATGTAGTGAAATTCAGAAAGCAGTTGGACTGGAAAACCACGAAACAGAAGTTTGAAATCCATCAAATATCCTGGAAGTTTGATCCTCTGAGCCCCCCATGGTGGGGAGGTATGTGGAAACAACTTGTGAAAAGTTTGGAAACATCGTCGAAGAGATCAAGATTTAAGAAAGAGTATCATAGAATGATTGTATATATTAAAATCTTTCTCGACCCCATGAAAATGAATACAAAAGACATGTCAAGGAAACAGGATTTATATATTGAAGTAGAAGATAATTCATCAACACCTACAGAAACAAGAAGATGAAAGAAGATAAAAAACTGTAGGCAGGGTGTCTACTACATTCTGGATAAAAAATTCATGGACAATTCCCGTACATTTAAGGACACTTTGCCGTAACCTTTGTCGGTGTCATTAGGCCTACCGAATAATTTTCCTGATTTGTCAAACTGTATTAATCTTGTTATTCACTGTAGTTGTACCAGAGAGAAAAGTAAATAATAATAGATAAGAGTTAAAAACTACAAAATAGAAATTTATTGAAAGTAAACAAACATAGGCCTACCTATACTTTAGGTAAAGCTTTTATAGTGTAACAGAGAAACGCAATCATTGTCTCCTGCGATAGCGAAAAATATCTCCATCCATCACGTAAACTTCATAACATAGCTTATCCGATCCAGGCGGATTAATTTGGCATGATTCGCCCTGGCACAACGTTAGGATCTCGACTACTTTTGAAAAAAAAAAATCTTTAATGCATATTGTTACTCAATTCTTAGTACAAAATCAAGGTATGGTAAGCGGCTATTAATAAGCAATAAGCACAGAGTAAGATTATTGTATTTTCATTTGTAAAGTTAATATCGACACATAGCTATCATTAGTTGTTTATCTTAGGCTCAATTACATTTTCTTAATATATTATACAGCTCTTTCAAGAATCAAAATACCCAGGCCTAGACCTAATTATTTAGGAGGGCCTATATAAACTGAGTAACAAACAATGAGGTTATAATAGCAGCAAAGTTACTATCATCATTCTAGTTCATAAGATTTTGATTGCTTAAAGCATACAACTCAATAAATAAATATATGGGAAACAAAAAAACATTGAAACCTGAATAGCCAACAATATAAGACAAAGATACAGAAAATGCAATGACATAATTTGAAACCAAGCAGGCCTACATAGTGATAAAACATTAATGCAAACAACAATGCTTGTGGTTTTGTCAATTGAAAGATAAAATGTCCATAAAAAAGGGTTAACTTACATAATAAGACTGTAGATTATTTACATGTTTAATATGAAACCATAAACAGTTTTATGGCACTAGGCACTGGCCGCGGCAAATTGAATCTTCAAGCCGAAAGTACAAGTAAGAAGTTAAATTTAACAGCCATTATAAAGCTATTATTTTCAAGATAAAATAGGTTTGGGATCTAATAATAATTACCCTAGTAATAAAAAAAGAAGTTGTAAAGGAATAAAAGTGATACAACTTTTATGAGCTAGCTGCTGAGTCAACAGTTCTTGGAAGTACTTGACTTGACACTTGATTGTCGTGATAAAATATTAATGGGTTTGAGATTGTTAATGGGATTTTTATTGCATAATTACTCTAGTAATAAATTATGAAAATGTAAACAAACATCTGATAAACCTTTTATGTGCTCCTAACCAACTAGCGATCAATAAAATTATGGCCCATCAAAAATTTAAGGACATTGTCTGGCATTTAAGGACAATTCCCGTACATTTCATGGCCAGTAAAAATTTAAGTACAATTCCCGGTTTTCCCGGTTGGTAGACGTGTAAACTTAAAAGAAATATGTAAATAGTTTTGTTTGAAATTTTGATAATGTAAAACAAAATTCCAAGGTGGGGAGGATGTTGGAAATCGAGTTATTTTTGTATAGTACAGTTTCAAGATTGATCAACATCAAATATAATTATTTGTTATTAGGCTTTGTTTTTAATTAACAGATGTTTTATGTTTTAATTGATTTAAACAATAGAGAAGAGTTGTTGTAAGGGTTTAAAGTTAGAAAAGAGAACATAACAATTTTGTTATAGAGAAATGTTTGAAATATTTGTTATGTATCAGCATTAAATCAGTTCTTTATTATATAACATTTGTAAAAGTTCTTTATTTCACACGAGTTCTAACAAGTTGACTTATCCTCCATAAAAATGGCATGGGAATTTTAAATTAAATTTTTTTTTTAACTTTCTCCATAACCATTAGGCGCATAAAAACGGTTCAATATACTAAATTATTTGTTTTTTTAAGCTCTACAAAATGGTTTGGAAATAATTTGTGAAATTTTGTGTTTTTAGGGTAAAAAATGGGAAAACCCTATTTTTACCCCATAAACCCCCGTTCCCTTAGGCTGATCAAGCTGGTTCGCTAGCTTGTTTGAATAAATGTAGGTTTACACGTTTGTACCAAATTTCATCATCGGATAACTTTTGCTAGAGTTATTGCGCTAACGGACATATATAAATGAAAATCAGACATTGAAAAACTTAGTACCGGTACCCAAGTAAAATTAAGATATTATATAAGTAAATATTTTTACTTCATATATATATGAATTTGAACGGATGGTGTTTTTGGCTTCTAGGGACCCCACGAACGAAAAAGTAAATCGTTCCCGGGTTCAGGTCTAACCATGAGTACTACGGTAATAGCTTATTCCCTATATGGGAAATTCGCTAATAAAGACTGGTGACATATCATTAGATAAAATATTTAAAATTTATTCAGAAATTGTGATCCCCAGGAAATATAATTTCCTTGCAGTAGTGTTGTTCCTAAATTTTATAAGCTCGGGTCTGTATTCTAGACATGGTAAAAGTTAATTTGTGGATTCTTTGTTACATAAACAAAATAATAATTGGCACAGTAGAGTATTTCATTTCAAACTTCTCATAAAGCAGTATTTTAATTCACTACTTACTTAACTGGTTTCAAGAGATGTTGTCCTTCAATCAGCATCTATAAAAAGAACAGTATGAAAACATTTTATTTCAGTAGTTGGTAGGAATCATTTTATATTTATCTTATTTATAGGTACTTCAGTCAAATATTAAAAAAATTTCAAACCGTTAAAAAGAGTTTGATTTTACAAAAAACAAAACTTGTGTGTGTGTACTGTATTTTAAATACTTCTTATGAAGCAAGAGAGGCAAACTGTTGGGTATACCTGATCCATCCACAAAAATAAAACACTCAAATTTGGTTCTTGGAATCCAATGCTCTAAAGCCCAAGTTGTTAAGTCATCAGACAAGTTAAAGCTTCAACCACTTAAAACAAAGATACAAAAACCTCAACAACCGCCCTTGGCCCCTTTTTTCAGACAAAAGCCTACAAATTCAATTTGCAGCATTTTTTGCCAGATGACTCAAAATAGTGTTCAAAATCTGTATTGGAAAAACATTCCAACCCCAAATTGTGTTGTAAACATATTTGTAACTGAACAATCCTTCTTTCCCAACCAGTTGAGCGATAATCATCAGATTAGCGGGACACAATTGTCATTTTACCTAAACAATTATTTACATACAATATTGTTTCATCCTCCTGTTTTAGTTGCAATACAATGTTATAACTTACTTAACCTTTCTCTCAAACCACAGACTGTGTATTGACTAATGACGAGATTTTTATATAAGACAAAGAAAAATCCCACCATAAAATAGAATATGAATAGATTGTTTTTGAATAGTTCTTATAAATATCAAATTTCCTGAAAAAAACCATCGATTGTTACCTTAAGTGTAAGTATCACAATTCAGAACAAATACCCCAAACTACATAAAATCCAGCATATAGGCACAACCAAAAGTTTACATACCTTGTTCTTCAAACTTCCTACAAAAATATCGACAGATTAACGATTCACCCTCCAGGTATTGCATTTTAAGAAATCCATCAACAAGGCGACAGTCAAAGAGCCTTGATACGCAGTAAATCAAGACCAAGACTTCCAAAATGCTGTGGACGTCTTCATTCAATGGAGACAGGTACTAGAACAACACTATAAAGGCAGAAGTAATACAAAAACTCCCCAAACTTTCACACCTATCACCGGCAGTCAAACCACAATGAGTTTTAGTATTACTCGGTGGTTGTGAAATGTTTTTACTAATGTGACACCATGCTTGTTCAATCAATCTAATAATCGCTGACAGTAAAACAGTTGAGGCTCCTAGACACCTTGTATGTTAAAATAATTAGTAAAACTTCAGTTTCTAATGGTTTCTAACATTGATTGAACCCATTGACCACCATGGACCATATGTATCAGATCCAAACAAGACAAAAACCAACATCTTGCATACTGATACTACTACTCATAGGAAAACAAAAAGCATGTGCTGGAGCAGTGGGAGAAACTGGGAGTAATCGGCAACTACCCGATAACTTATGTCACTGCCGTTGTTATAACATAAAGCGTTATGGCTGATTCAGGCCAATCAGACATTTCGCTCTCCCTTCATCCAGAAGCGAGCCAGGGTTCAAATTTGGCTTTAGTTGTTAGCTCTGATGTTCAACTTTCTGTAAGAGAAGGAGCAAGAAAGGCCAATTAAAAAAAATTCTTTTTGTGGCCTTGATGTAAAGTTAATTCTTTTCATTATTTAATAGTCCTTGGCAGTCAAAGAGTTGAGTACGGTAGTTTAAAATTTAGAAATTCCCATACTTAGGCCATTATGAAATTCAAAAGTAAATGGCTTCAGATGACAACAAAGCATAAGTGTGTAATGCCATTTTGGTGATAGTTAACCAATCAGACCTACAAACGTGAATAAACATGGGTTATAAAATATTACTGAGGTGCAGATACTTTCCACCATTCTAAAATCTGATTACCCAGTATAAGCTAAACCAATGGTGCAATTCCAATCATACAATGTGCCTAAAGCAAGAAATCTTTCTTGTAGAGGCTTTCAGAGTTAAAAAATAATTCCATTTAGTAATGTCAAATATTCACTAATTTCTGTGCGGTTGAATTCTACTAGATTTTGTGTTTTGTTAACCTGATATTTCAAGACCGAATAAAAAGATATTTCTTGTGGACACCGCCTAATTGTTGACTATGTCAAATATTCAAAAGTCAACCAAGAACATAATGTGGGATTGTCTGCTATGCACATTTCATGATATAGCCACTATTAATCTCATTCATCAAACAGATTTACTAACAACCCAGGACAGAATTGTAATGAATGAGATCAATAACTATTTGCGACTGAGACAATACAGTGGCCTGGGACAGAATGGATCATTGACCTTTCAGATAGAATTGACTCTCATGACCCAGTATAGTAGCTACCAGATATTGACAAGATTATGCTACAATAACTAACTCCTACTATCCAAAATGTAAAATATATACTGTGATTAATATTAATTGAAACAGAATTTCACTTGAACATTTTAGTTAAATTGACTATTTCTGAAACTAAGCTGCTATAACACTGACCCTTGAATGTCTTCCAAAAAAAGATTTTCTGCAGGTAATATGTTGAGTTTAGGTTGAGTAAAAAATGAAAGGGATAAAAACTTCTTAAAATTGCTGTTAAAATATTATGACTAATCTATGAATGACATAGTTTAACTATATGTATGGGGTTATAATTGTAGCGAAATTAAATAGATTACAGTGTATTTTTAGGGAGACAAATATGATATTTCAGTGATTCATGCTAATTATAAGATCACACAGTAGTGAAAACAGAGCAAAAATGTAGACAATTTTTTATCAATTTTTTGGGGGTGGGGAGACACAAAACTTCTTATTTTGAACTATTGAGGAAATTACTATACTATTTAGTAATAAATGGTCACAATTTCACAGAGCAACATCACAATTTTAAACTTAGCGTTTCAAAAGTAAGACTAGGTAAAATACTGAACGTGAACAGTAATAAAAAATCACCATTCAAACCATCAAAACACTTAATAGCACGAAAAAACACAATCCCTTATAAAAGTACTGTAGCATCTTAACGATCAGGGCAAAATATGACTTAGGCCATTCCTTCAAAAGACTTGACCTTTCAACCGTTCTTCTGGATTACATAGTAAACAGTGATAATGAACACCTCCAAATGAGCAAATGACAATATAACACCAGAAACAAAGGGCAATACTGTAGTTAGTTTTACTGAACTTCATGATGAGTGGTTCTTACAATTTATTGACTGACAAAAACTTCATATTCTTCCTCATTAGGCAACTAGAATTGTTTGATACACAGATTAATGTGACTTAAAATATAAATAGAGACTGAAAGGGATTTGCAAAAAACTGAATTTTTCTCTAGACTAGGAGATCTCAAATCTTTTACATAATACAGTATTGTGAAAAAATGGAATATAATGTTTTAGTAACTTTAACTTGTATATTAAAAATACCATCCCTATGATAATTATAAAAAAAAAAAATTATTAACTAGTTTCCGTGATAGAGTCTTAAATGGAAATTGATATTTGATCAACACACAAAAAAGTCACAAATAGAAATTAAAATCTAAACGGCTCACCATTTATCCAGACTTTTTCGACTGACACCTTCATATACTCACAGACCAGGTTTTCAATTCCACCAACAAACCGGCCAGTTCTAGCTCCAGAGTCAAACCAAGGTTGCTTCTTGCAGGAAAATCAAATCTCCTCAATAGCAGATGATCGTCTCTTCAAGATGGCAGACTACATATATCTTAAAGTGCTAGCAATCAAAATAACATGCAGAAATACGATCCTACCAAAAGACGAATAAGAATTAGTAGTACTATCGTGAAAAAATATTTTAAATATTTTGGAGATCCAATTTTAAGAGTGGACACTCTTAAAACTGCTAAAATGAAGATAACAACGGCGATGACTAACATCTAAATAAAGGTGTGTTTATTACAAATAAACTCCAAGCAATACTAACAGATGAATGTTTTTACTCATCCAGTCTGACACAGATAATGAAATCCAAACACCTAGAAACACTGGCCTTCAAGAAAACGTCAGTAGGTACGACTATTTTACTGACAGCAGTTAATAATTTGAGTTGCATGAGTGATTTAGTAACTTAAGAAAATCCAAAGGCTACTCCTATAAATGGTTTAATAATTGAATGACTTAAAATATATGCAAATGATACACACTGTTAGAATTCATCATGAACCTTGTTCCAATTGTAAAACTCCCAAAGATAACAGTGACAGTTAACAAAGTCCAAGAATAAGGTTTTCTACTGAACCTTTTTTAACAAACTAGATCTGATAACATTCTACAGTACTAGGTTAAGTTCACTTTTAGTAACAAATTAATTTTTGTTTAAAAAAGACACAATGTTAATTATCCTATCAACTTTAGCCTTTACTATTGGGTTTTAAAATTTAAATAAACTATTTTAAACCCATCACCATTAAATTTTAAACATGATCAAACATGGTAAATATTAAGTAGGCAATGACAAAGAAGTATATTAAAAAATTCCTACTCAAATCAATCATGGAAATTAGAATGTAACATTTTTGAAATCACAAAAATTTGCCATCATGTAAAGAGAGTGTGTGATGAACTGTGGTAAAAAGTATGCAATAAAAACTAAACAGGCTTGTGATTAAACACAGCTATATTTTAAGGTTAGAAGACAACATGGATAGAAAAATAATTTGTAACTGCAGTTCTAATGATGTTAAATTTGTTTTCCTTCTCACCACAACAGAGTTGCTATCTGTAATATACTAACTTAGTTCACCATATATATTTATAAGCAGGTCCTAAATTTCCCTAACAGTTGCAGATGTTTTAAAACTTCACTTGAAAACTGCATTGGTCTTGGTCAGTCAAAGCAAGGTGATAAAAGTTCTTTGAAGGATCCATATCTAAAAGTATCGAGCAGAATAATCTTTTGTCAAAACAGTTATTACTATGCAAGCAACATAAAACGCCCATAAAACTGCATCCAATGGTTATTACACCACACCCAAGAGACCCATCCTTTACTGTCAAAACTAACAACAATAAAATAAAGATATAAATATTCGGCTGTAGAAAGAGGCAAGTTTACATAAAAGCTTTTCCTGGCTTAGCAAGTTATCATGCAAAGATAAAATGTTCTTGGCAATATTGTAATGCAGTTTTGAGTTGAGACCTTAAAACTAAGTGATGACCTTACTCTTGACTTAGCCTGCAAATTTTATATTGACAAAAGAAATAATTAGGGATGGACGAGATTGGATTTTTAGTTCGAGACGAGACGAGACGAGATTTTTTTATTTCTCATAAAATTTCGAGACGAGATTGAGATGAGATTTCTCTTCTCATACACAACGGGAAATGCACGTTCGAAATTTTTACCTGATTTTGTAACATTGTTAGATGACTGTTTAAATATTAAAATAATGATAATAGGCAAGAATATTTACAATCTTTCATTAAATAACATCAGCATAACATTTTTTTATTAATCACGCCTAACTTATTAAAAATGCCTACAATTAGGAAACATGGTGATATCAGTTAGGATAGAGTTCAACTTATCCTAAAATAAAATAAATCATAAAATAAAAGCAATATTAATTTTTATAAAATAGTTACTTGTTTTGACTTTTTTTATAGTAATAAAACATTCCTCACACTGCTTACACTTAACAAAACTTCTCAAATGTTATTAAAGTAATATTATTAAAATAATGAAAGTAATATTTACATTAAAAGAATTAAAGTAATATTTACATTAAAAGAATTAATTAAATAAGAACGCCTTCGAAAAGGAAACGCAACTACAACACGCTCCTGTATTGCGGGTATTGCATTGACTTTCTGCAGGCGTTTTTAATTTTTTTTTTTTTTTTATTCTCGTCTCGATAAAAATCTCGGCCAAAAAGTAATCTCGTCTCGTGTAACGAGATTGAAAATTTCCCGAAAATTTCCCGAAATTTCGAGACTTGACCATCCCTAGAAATAATGTAAAGGTACATAAAAGATATCATTGAAAGTTGTCAGTAAATAGTCTTTAACATCTTTAACCTTTATGTGTACCCCATTATTACATAGCTTGAACATAAAAAAAGTTATTTGCCCAGAAATGTTATATTCTCAAGTTCACGTGAAATTTTTTTGTTTTTTATCTAATGATTTCATCGACATGTTGTCAACATTTTTTCTTTTACGTTGAGAGGATTTGGTAAAGGAGTTGAGCTTGTAAGAGGAAATTAAGAAAATGAACTAAAATAAAAAGTATAAAAGCGTATATTTGAGTTTTCAAGACCAATAAAGGCAAATTAATTTTGCATTCAAGGCGAATAAGAACCTAGAAACAGTAGAAAACAAAAAATAGAGCATAAGATTAAAATCTTCCCTCTATTTAGTAATAGTGCAAAGAAAGGGTCTGCAGGCCAGAATCGTATACTTCGGGCCAAAATCGGGTTGATTTGGAAATTGTAATTCTACAACCAATGGTACATGATCTCCCCATATCGCTGTAAAATCGTCAGTGGGCACGGGGGAATTGTGAACATCTTCTCCACCATGACAAAATCAAAATATCTTCCTCTGTCAAGGCGAAACTGAGAAAATTTTCCTCAACACGGCAGAATCAAAAGTACATCTTCCCTGGTCACGGCGAAATCAAATTCATCTTCTCTGGTCACGGTGACATCTTCTTCCACAGTGACAGCGAAATCGTAAACAACTTCCCCAATCACCGGTAAAATGACCCAATCCGACCGAAAATATCAGGGACCTGCAGACAACTACTGATAAGTAATTTTATGATGTGCATGTAACTTGTATGATAGGGACAAGTTGATTCTCTGTAACCACTCTGTACATCACCACCTAGATACACATACCTTGCTTGAGGCTATCCTTTTAGGTTGATATTATTCTGAACATATTTACTCAAGGGAAATTAAAAGGTTGTGGTTGATCAAATTAGGCAATAGCAGTGGCAATACTAGTTAGTTATAATGGTGTTTATGTCCATCCAGTGAAATAGTCAATAAAGTTCTCACCGATGACAGAGTGACGTGAATCATTTTCTTGATGTAATTTAACAAAACTCTGACAGCATCGTGATTGAGTTGCTGGAACTACCATCTTATAATTCCACTTTCAATTTCATTAGGAATGATCACTTATCGCTAAATATGGGTATAAGTAAACTTAAGTCTGCGTTTTGGAGTTAATGCAGAAACACTATGGAAGTTTGGTTTTTCAGAAACCAATTGGAGGATACATTTGTGGCAAGATATTAGCACAAAAATACACAACCTTCCAATTGTCCTGCTGAAA